TTTCCATTTCTGGTGCGTTCATTTTTAAAGCTGATGGAGCCTCTGTGCATACATTGCATTTACATTGGCTTATTCTGTAAATAGTTTAGTTGACATATTTGAAGGATGTTTATATTAATGACATCATTCCTCTTGATTTTACCTCTTGATTTTAAGGCATGATCACATCTTATCGCGTAAAGAAATAGACTGAAAGATAATCAGAAATTATAATTGTTCATTAAGTTATGCGTGTATTTGATTAAAATGTATGCACTCGGTTGGGAGTGGTGGCTCATGCCTGTAATCCCAGCACTTTGGGAGGCCGAAGTGGGATCACCTGAGGTCAGGAGTTTGAGACTAGCCTGGGCAATATAGTGAAACCCCGCCTCTACTAAGAATACAAAAATTAGCTGGGCGTGGTGGCAGGCGCCTGTAATCCCAGCTACTTGGGAGGCTGAGGCAGGAGAATTGCTTGAACCTGGGAGGCAAAGGTTGCAGTGAGTCGAAATTTTGCCACTGAACTCCAACCTGAGCAACAGAGCGAGACTCCCTCTCAAAAAAAAAAAAGAAAAGAAAAAGTATGCACTAACTGGTTAAATGGTCCGGCATTTCTATTTTTAAGTACTTCATACACAGCTACAACTCAGACATCATTTTTTTCCCCTGTGGTACTCTTTACTTGTTTATTTTTAGAAAGTTTGGGCCAAATCTATTCCATCTTTGACCTTTGGATTCTTTTCTTTTCTTTTTAGGGAAAGAACTGTGTATACCTTTCCCAGTATGAAGCATACACACATGCTCACATGGATGAGAAACAACTCCCAGACTTGCTTTTCTGACAAATCAATCACTGCTAGTAGATCTTTAAAATGTCAAACTTCTCATTCAGCATGAGATCTGTCACTGTCTATGTGTTTCTCTGATGATTCCCCAGATCTTACCAACTGGCATGGTTCCCATATGTCAGAACGATGAAATGTACAAGACGCCTATTCAGACTTATACTTTCTCTGCAATTATCACAGTCGGGTATTTTTTTCCTGGCTTCTTGGAAGGTTTACTGCTCTCCCAGGCTTTTGGCCTGCCAGGAGGTCAAAGAGCTTGGAGTTAGTTTGCTTTCTCTCCAAAATACCAAGGTGCAACCAAACCTTTTTCCATGACCTCTTGGAAAAATACACAGGAGCTTCATGCCATCTCTCAAGGACTACTCATAGGCATACCCAGAGTGCAGCCCAGAATAGCTAACTGCCTCTAGAAAGGTGGCTTCTCATTATTATCAGAGCTTTAAAACACGATTCCTTATAGAACTAGTAGCATGAGAAACTGGGTTGGGCATTTGATAGGGTTAAAACAGTACCATTTACTTGTCCTGTAAACTGCATATTATTGTACTTTCCAAACTTTGATGTCCTCATCTATAAAGTAGAAAGTGACCATATTAAGAATATAGACTTGTGTAAGTCAACAGCAAGTGTGTTTTAGAACACAGGAACAAGAATATACCTAATATGTGTTAGTAAACAGAAGTTTTTCTTTAGCTACTCTATTTTTGTTTTTTGTTTTGTTGTTGTGGTTTGTTTTGTTTTGTTTTGTTTTGAGACAGAGCCTCACTATGTCACACAGCCTGGAGTGCAGTGGTGGGATCTCAGCTCACTGCAACCTTCACTTTCCAGGTTCAAACAATTATCCTCCTGAGTTGCTGGGATTACAGGCATGTGACACCACACTCAGCTAATTTTTGTATTTTTAGTAGAGACAGTGTTTCACCATGTTGGCCAGGCTGGTCTCGAACTTCTGGCCTCAAGTTGATCCACCCTCTTCTGCCTCCCAAAGTGCTGGGATTATAGGCACGAGCCATCATGCACAGCCTCCCACTCTATTTTTGAACAAAAAGACTAAAAAGGTTAAGAAATATGCCAGGGAGAGCCAGGCACGGTGGCTCACGCCTGTAATCCCAGCACTTTGGGAGGCCGAGGTGGGTGGATCACGAGGTCAAGAGATTGAGACTATCCTGGTCAACATGGTGAAACCCCGTCTCTACTAAAAATACAAAAAATTAGCTGGGCACGGTGGCACATGCCTATAATCCCAGCTACTCAGGAGGCTGAGGCAGGAGAATTGCCTGAACCCAGGAGGCGGAGGTTGTGGTGAGCTGAGATCACGCCATTGCACTCCAGCCTGGGTAACAAGAGCGAAACTCCGTCTCAAAAAAAAAGAAAAAGAAAAAGAAATATGCCAGGGAACTCAGCAAATGGGTACCACAGGGGATGCCCTGGTGACATGCTTCCCTGTGCAAGTCAAAGCATTGTGTAATATATAGCTAGTTCCACCTAGCAAGTCAGTACACAGCTCAGATGCATGTCTAGGATCATGCGATCGTCTTCCACCTATTTAGATGTTTCTCGTCCACCTCAGGCTAGCTTGCAACAGGACAGATTTCCAAATGTTGGCATGCCAGTGTCAGGAAATGATTGAATTGAGGTTATTTTTCTAACCTCAGTGTCCAACACGGTTCTCAACATTCCTGTTTGTATGCTACCTGAGAATTCCTCATTGAAAATTACTGCAGGGAACATCACTTTTCTGAACAATAGTAACTTGATCAGAGTAGCAGACTCTGAGTTCAACACAAATGAACTTTGAAACTGAGAAGCAAGTCTTCTACCATCTACTCCTAAGCCTTTATCCAGGAAAGGAGTATTCAGTTAGGACATTATCCAGATGTGGGAAATGGCCAGATAAATTTTTGATAGCTTATTTATGTTTATTATTTTTACAGTGGCAAGACAAGTAAAGATAGAACTTTCAGATCAGTCTACCGAGTGGGTTCCGATGTAAGGGACACAAGAAGTCCAGCATTTCAGTAAGTTCAGAGATTTTTTTTCTCCTGGATAGACTCAAATCAGTGGAGAGACAGACCACTCCCTAAACCACAATCTATATTGCTGATCCCATGCCAGTAACTCAAAGCAATGAGTCCAGCATCGAACTCACCTTCTACTTCCTAAGCCTGCATACCAGCCCCACTACTACTGTTCACGATTCTTCTTTTCTAGGTAAATACCTTGAGACATCTTGAATTCTTTCTTTCTGCCTGTCATCCACATTCTGACTTTTGTCCTTTTCTTTAGCATTGATGGCGTCCCCTCCCTTCTGTTAACCAGGGTCGGGTCCTCATCTCCCACTGCATCTGGGCAACACCTACTTTGCTTTCCCTTCCTTCCAACAACTACCCCCCACGCCCCACCCCTAAACTTTTGGAACCGCTGTAGGTATGTCCTGTCTCTGCTCTAGAACTAGCTCCCTTTACCTCAGTAAACGTCCTTGTTATTAAGATCCTTTTCCTGCCGAGACCCATCCAGCCCTATTTCCATCACTCCCTAACCCACCCCTTTTATTCCAGTCCCACGCACAACCATTTCATCTCTGTCTTTGCGAAGTATTAATACTTTTCCTCATCTTCTCCCTCAACAATGCCCAAATCTAAGCCCTCTATTCAAATTCCTGCCTAAATCATCATCTGCCACCAAATCCCCTTACGAGGCTTCAGAAACAACTTTCCTCTTCTGCCTGTAAACTTCACTTCTATTTAACCTCAGCCCCTTCTGGCTCATGCTATTTTGTTTATTGTTAACAGATGACCGTGTGTTATGTAAAGGCATTTACACTCCTTTTCTCTTCTCTGTCCTCACCCTACTTGTGCCTCATGCCCCCTACACGGGAGACATGGCAAGAGACTGACAACACCCATGGATTCGAACCGAAGTAGAACTCCTGCAGACCGTGAAGTACTCCTTCTACCCCTGCAGAAAGTAGACTGTAAATGCCAACGTTCTTAACTTGGCCAAACTTCGTCACAATTGCACAGGATGGAGATTTGTTATTAAGTCATTTAGTATGCCCAAGATGCCTTTAAGAAAGATTTAAATAAAAACTCAAGGGGCGGACACAATGGCGCACCCTGAAATCTCAGTACTTTGGGAGGCTGAGGTGGGAGGACTGCTTGAGTCCAGGAGTTCAAGACCAACTTGAATAACAAAGATAGACCCCCCCTCGAAAGAAAGAAAGAAGAAGAAAAAGAAGGAAGGAAGGAAGAAGAAAGGAAGGAAGGAAGAAAAAAGGAAAGAAAGAAAAGAAAAAGAATGAAAAAGAAAAAAGAAAGAAAAAGGAGAAGGGGAAGAGGAGGAGGGGGAGGAGGAAAGGGAGGGAGGGAAGAAGGGAAGAAAGAAATCTGAAGTCAGCTTGAGGTGGCAGGATGACTGGAGGTCAGGAGCTCAAGACCAGCCTAGGCAACATGAGGAGATTCCATCTCAACACAAAAAATGTAGAAGAGTAATCAGGTGTGATGAGTCCTCTGAGGTACAGGAGGCTGAAGCAGGAGGATCACTTGAGCCCAGGAGTCTGAGGTTTTAGGAAGCTATGATAGCGCCATTGCACTCCAGCCTGGGCGACAAAGACAGACACAAAAGAAAACAAAACAAAGCAAACCAACCAAACAAGAACAAAAAACCACACACACACACACACACACACACACACACCCCAAAAGCAAAAAAAAAAACCCTCGAGGCTTTCTTGCTTAGAGTGAGCTCTGCCGGGAGGTGGGATGGACCTGGGGAGGAGAGGCTCGGGGCATCTCAGCTTTAACTCTCAGTCACAGGAGCGAAAACCACAAGAGCGCTGAGGTCAGGCTGCAAGAGGTGATGCCGAGATCATTGCCATGCCCCTCCTGGTGGTGGGATTGGTTTTCACTTTCTCCATCCAAGCCGCGCATTTGGGGGAAACCGGAGCAAGCCCTCGCTCCACGGAGCACTGCTTCTAAAGCAATAAATAGCTTGAGGTGACAAGAGGCGAAACTGATTGTCCCTGAGATGGGACTGCAATAGAAATCCGGGCAGCCCGAACAGGCACCCCGTGCGCCAGCCACCAGCGGGGCCGCCTGGGCGTCGCCGGCTGGGGACCCGCCGCGAGGAGGCGCCGCGAGAGCGCGGGTCCCCGCCCGCGGCCGGAGGAGGGCTAGAGCGCCTGGGCCAGCCCCCGAGCCGGCCGGGCGGGCGGGCGCGCGCCAGCAGACGCCGGGCACTGTCACCGCGGTTGCGCCGCGCGCACCAACCGGGGAGGCGGACATCTGGGGACCGCCAGGCTCCGCCCGCGCCCCTTGCCCAGCCGGGGTCCTCGGCTCGTGCTCACGGGTAGCAGCCACCGGGGCGGAGAGAGATGTCGCCCAGGGCCAGCCGCGGTCCCCGGGGAAGCCGGGTGCAGCCGATCGCACCGGTCTGCTGCGCTGCGGCCGCGCTGGGGATGCTGCTGTGGTCCCCCGCCTCGCAGGCGTTCAACCTGGACGTGGAGAAGCTCACGGTGTACAGCGGCCCCGAGGGCAGCTACTTCGGCTACGCGGTGGACTTCTACATACCCGACGCCCGCACGTAAGTCGCCCGGCCCGGGGAGGTGCGCGCGGGGCGAACGCGTTCCTGAGTCCCGTCCCAGCAGCTCCGCCGTGCAGTCCCCGCAGTCTGGGATCCCCGTCCCGCTGCCCTCCCGGGGTCCCGTCCCTCTCCAGCCCCTTCTCTCCCCTGCCATGCTGGATGCGCCTTGCGAACTTTGAGCTAGAGACATGCCACTTGCATAGAACACGCAAGTCCTGGGTGTTCCCGGCACCAAGACGCACGCATCCTACAAAGGAGAGAACGGGACGCAGAAGACCCAAGCGGGTTAAAACCGCGACCACAGCGCGGTCTGTTTATGTGTAGCCTGGAACGACGGCGTCTGGGCGCAAGAGCTGTCGGCTACCAGCAGCTGGGCTCTGTCCTTGGCTTCCTCCCACCCCACCCCCTTCTCTCTTCTCACTGAACACACAGAGCTCCACCTAGAGAAGTAGGAACGTTTGCACTCTTGCAAACCAGGTTACGTACGCCCATAGGTTTCCAAGAGGAAATCAAGATTGACAGTCGGTCCTCATCATAAATACGTTCCAGTCCCCCACGCCTGCCCCAGCGTCCCTGGGTTTGAGGCTGCGGAGACTGCATTGCATGCGCACGCTTTTGTGACGCCCAAGGAGTGACTTTCTCCAACCTTTTTGCAGAGCGAGTGTCTTGGTGGGGGCACCCAAAGCCAATACCAGCCAGCCCAATATCGTGGAAGGAGGAGCCGTCTATTACTGTCCTTGGCCCGCGGAGGGGTCTGCACAGTGCAGGCAGATACCGTTTGACACCACCAGTAAGTGAGATTTGTACTTCTAAGCTGCGGGCCTGGGTTTGGAAAAACCAGGGCCATCCCAGAGGTGAATTTCCACTGTCTCGGTGCGGTGCTCGTTTCGCCTGTCGGATGTGTCCGTGTTGTGGGTTGCGTGGGCCTCCAGAGAAAATCAGTTTTTTCAACTCTGAGTTAAGTGGAGGTCGATGTTTAGTGAACCCTAGAGAAGGGACACTGTTTTGACCCGGAGTGTTTGGACGCATCCTGGCAATTCCTGTTTCCCTACTGTTCTGGGATGAGCATTTTCAGGGTGAGTGGATGTTTTGGAGAAATATGAAAGCTACGTTCTAACCTTGACTGTGGAGAGAATTTGGTTGCTTTTCGAGGACAGATCTAGAAAAAGAGAGATCCTGAGCCTTTCCAGTGCCCAAACTCCGGAGGTAGGACTTAGCTTCCACAGACTCAGACATCGCTCCGTGTTGCTGTTTAATTCTTTACAGAAAGAAAGAATTTTCTTTCAAAATATTAGACATTGGATGCAAGCTAGTGCAGGCTGAGTGTGGATGGATTACATTCATTTCCAAAATCCCTAGACAGATGTTTCTTATTTAATTAAAGGGAAAATACATTTTAAACAATTCAGCCTGGTTATGTTTCCTCTGGTGTTTTCTCTTTAGAGCCTGAGAAAATAATTTAAATGCAATGCTTTCAAAAACATTAACACTGAGTGCTTTAATTTGTGCCACCAAAACTTTATGAAATCAAAAGGTATATGTTATTAGAAAGCAAATGCCTCTTTCCAGAAAAATGTGAATATGCCAGCTTGAATAAGTCTGATAATCTTTTAAAATACCGTTTGCACCACACAACTATTTTATGATTTCATACTTGATTTCTTTGAGTTTTTAAAATTGTTTGATTTTGTGTGTATATAGAATTTACGCAGAATATTTTCACAGAATTTTGATGAAATTGGCTGGGTAATATTTACCTGTTACTATATCTCATTTTTATCTTTTATGTTAAAGGCAAAAACAATTTCAGTTCTATAAATATGAAAATCATTTCAAAGCAAAACATACTATACAAGCGTTACCTTGAATTATGACCTAATTAGGAAAGGTTTTTTTTTTTGTTTTGTTTTGTTTTGTTTTGAGAGAGTCTCTCTGTTGCCCAGGCTGGAGTGCAGTGGTGTGATCTCGGCTTACTGCAACCTCTGCCTACCAGATTCAAGCAATTCTGCCTCAGCCTCTCCAGTAGCTGGCACTACAGGTACACACCACCATGCCCAGCTACTTTTTGTATTTTTAGTAGAGATGGGGTTTCACCATGTTGGCCAGGCTGGTCTTGAACTCCTGACCTTGTGATCCGCCCTTCTCGACATCCCAAAATGTTGAGATCACAGGCATGAACCACCATACCCAGCCTAGGAAAGTATTCTATAAAAGCATAAAAAAATTATATTTTTATCATGCCTACCTTTTATGATCACAATAGCTTATCATTTTATTAAGTAATTATGTTATTTTATACTAGTTTTTATAAGCTTTTACTTTTACATTTGAGTATTGGCAACCAGGAAGATTAAACCTTTTGATGTTAATTTGTGACAGAAATCCTTTAATCAGTTGTTTTGTCAAGACTTGAGATGCTTTCTAGCTACTGCCCTCTGGGTTTAAGAATAAGCTTCCTAAATCAGAAGAATTAAACATTTAAACATGAAATTAATGCCATTTTAATAATTCATGCCCAAATCATTTGTATTTTTGAAAGTATTTTAAGCCCAGGCCAAATAAAGACATGAATCATTGACATTATTAGAATTTACACTAAGGAAAAGCAGCATTTATGTTTTGAGACACAGTTGAATTTAATAAGCTTCTTGTATAGTCTCATACATATCAAATCAGGATCTGCTTAGCATATTTTTCTTTTGATAAAAGAAGAATCAGTGTCTGCTAAGTTACCCTGACTTACTTTGTAAGTATTCATCCCAATAGGTGTTATAGGCCAACAGATTAAAAACAAGCAAATCTAGATGTCAAATATGAATTTAAAAAAATTAACCACTCCTAGCTGAAAATTTTCAGTATTAAATTACAATAGGTAGGCCAGGAGTGGTGGCTTATGCCTGTAATCTCAGCACTTTGGGAGACAGAGGCAGGTTGATCACTTGAGATCAGGAGTTTGAGACCAGCCTGACCAACATGGTGAAACTCTTATCTCTACTAAAAATACAAAATTGGCCTGGGGTAGGGGTGCATGCCTGTAATCCCAGCTACTTGGGAGGCTGAAGCAGGAGAATCACTTGAACCCAGGAGGTGGAGGTTGCCATGAACCGAGATTGTGTCACTGCACTCCAGTCTGGGCAAGAAAGTAAGACTCCATCTTAAAAAAAAAAAAAAAAATTACAATAGATAATATTTTCTAAAGCTCATTCTAAAGCAATTGTTTGAAGTATGAATTCACTCTCCCATAGAGAACGAATGCTAAAAGATGTGCTTTGGTTTACAGAATAGCCCACAAGAATGTACTGAACCCTTATTGTACAGTTGAATAATATTGAATTATATTTGCAGTAAAACAGAAGGGGACAAACAAGAACAATTTTGGCAATTAAATAAATGGAAAAATAATGTTGAGAAAAGATCAGTGTGTTACTTGGAGAAATGCAATGTCCTCTTTTGTGTAGGTTAGGCAGATATCTGAGTATCTCAAAGGGCGTTAGAGATTGATGCTGCTCATTCCAAATAGTGTCTTATTTTACTTCTAAATATATGGGAGTTTCCCTGATAAACAGATGAACGCATTACTCCTACTATTATCAACTACAATCACAATAATTTCAGAATTCATAAATGGAACAAAGTGAGGGAAAGGAAGAAGGAGGCAAATAGATGTTCCTGAAATAATTGAACAGGAAATTTTAAAAAAAAATAGAAAAGTATGGGAAGCAAGGCTACACAAAGCTTTTGAGAAATGAATGGTCCATGACAGAATGAACGTAGCTGTGACCTGGGAAAGACAGGGCGTTCCACTAGGAGAAAGAAAGGAATTGCTGAGAAAAGAAAGTTCCCCACGTTGGCCATCAGGGGGTACTGTGGGCCCAGAAACCTTGATTGCCAGTGGGAATGGCCTGAAAATGGGTGCGGAGAAAGAAGCCACAGCCCCACAGCCCAGGTGTTTGCTACCGAGTGGGTACCCACCCTCTACCTCATCTGTGCCAATTGCTTTATCCTTATACCCTCAGAGAGTGGAACTGGCAGTGTCTGCCACTTGATGCAAAGCTCTCCAAGTAAAGAAGGCATAGCAGAAGCCACTGTAGCTATTTCCAACCTGAACATCAGTTTTGTGGACAATGTGGAATCTTAGAACCAAAGATGAAAGGTGGAAACAGACATCACTGGGTCTGGGTCCTGCCGTCAGTGTTGCCAAAGGTGTCCCACTTAGAGACTGCTGCTATGTACAGGCGTTGTTTCTGCTACATAAGACAAATCAAAACAACTGTGTAAAACTCATTCTATAAACAAGGAAACTGATATCAAAGGGACACCCAAGACCGTACAGTGGTAAGCGGTAGAAGCAAGACTGGAATAGAGGTCTGCCCAGTTCAAAGCCCGCTTCTTCACCTGCTTTTCTTCCAGAAATGGGAGAGAACTGACTCCAGCAGACTGCAAGTTGAAGACTGTAAGGAAGCGCCAAGGAGCTCTGGAGGGCTCTATTGACCTTCCCCCCCACCCCACCCCGTTTCCCCACCCCAACAGTGGTTTACAAATTCCATTTTAAATAAGAAAACAAAAGGGAAAGAGGAGGGAAGATATTCTCCGGTTCTCATTATGCTGTAATAAGAGTCGCCAGTCGGATATCGCCATCTTGTTGTGCGTGATAAGGTAGTAGACCTCGAAAGTGAAATAGTTTGATACGATGATATGTGGAAATTAAATAGAGAGTAGGATCGTGGTATGCCCGCGGGTTGGCGAATATGATATACAGGTATTGGAGGACACGGGGCACGATGTAGCGATTATCGACCCGCTCTGCGTAACTCTAGACACAGATCTGACTTCGATGGCCAGAGATAGTATCGGACTATCAAACACAACGAGAAGAGAAGAGTTACGAGCGAGATAGCGGCGGCGAAGTACAGGGGTGATAGACTGCGAACATTATATAACAGCTATACCGAATTTATAATGGGGATCGTGGTGCCGAGACGGGAGTACGAGACTTAGTGGATTTACGATGAGGACAGAATAATCGATACTTGACAATGGGGATGATGAAAATTACTCGAGGAGAACTCGGAGAGTTAGAGGAAAACTAGGCGAGCGGTATGTGAATAGAGTAGATGACTCGAAAGGGGTGTGATATGGAGACAGGTGGGTGTGGAGGATAGTTTGAGATAGCAAAGTATTTATCTAGCCGGAAAGGAGAGAAATGGGAAGATATTGAGAAGGATATTTGTTATTTGATAAAAAATTTAGTGTGGGTTTTATGAAATTTAATTAGGTTCAGGAAACATAAGTATTGTTGAAACTCAAGATTCACGGGAGTGAGAAAAAGTGTAATGCATTATATACTATGGGGTCAGATTTTCCTGCTCTGTACAAAATCCAGGGGTTCCACAAAAGAGCACTTCTCTCATCTCCTTTCTGCCTTTCCCTCTTTACTTCAATAGAAGAAAATTCTTCCCATCACCAAGTTGATTTCTTTCACTGTTGTCTCAGGAACCCTTTAAACTATGCCCCACGTCTTAAACACTTTAAAACATCGTATCTGCCTAATTCATGCCTCTCACTTCTGTGTCTGCTCCAAGGCTCCCTTTCTTCTTTTGCTACATTTTCCAAACCAATGCGTGGGTTAATTAAGGATTGTTAGATTGCAACCCTTCGGCAAAAGGGAGAATGAGGCCGGGCACGGTGGCTCACACCTGTAATCCCAGAACTTTGGGAGGCCGAGGCAGGCAGATCATGAGGTCTGGAGTTTGAGACTAGTCTGGCCAATAAGGTGAAACTCTGTCTCTA